AGAGTTATAGTGCAAATTTTCATGTAATACAAGAAAATACGGGTGCATCGTTGCTAAGAAAATAAACTGGACAGTTTTTCGGAAACGCATTTCTTTCAGTGTAGATGAGTTGTAAATTCTTGGTTCGAGTTTATCACTTGAGTCTGACGAATGTTGAATTTTAGCTAACTTTTAGGTTGCGAACGTTGATAGAGTCTTTGAATACCCAGAATATACAATGAGCTCTATGAATACGATGCCTCAACTCGTTTCATGGCTTTGCTCAAGCTGACACCTACTAAATGTGTAATTATTGTTTTCTAATATTTCTGGATTCTACATTAATTTCGCTAGGTTTAATTGAGTCTGTATACTCAAAATATACAATGAGGCGTGCCCAAAAAGAAACCTACTGAATGCGGAGTTTTGGCTACTGTTTAGATTTACAGGCAGTTGAAAAAGGAAAGTGATCGAGCATTTTCCATGGTACTTAGGGTAACATGGGTCTTGTACGTGGAACAGATCACTTGTGTAGGTACCTGAGTTTTTTCTTAGAAATGCCTCCGAGAATTATAATTATTTTTCTAGTTTCCCAGTAGGTATATGCGCTACTGGTTGGTGTATTGTAAATCAGTTCATTATTTACTTTAATTAGTTAATCTATTAGACCAACCTTTACAGATAAATGATGTTTTTTTTTAAACTTTAACGCCTGGTATCTGGAAAATTAGTGGCTTTAGGCCCTTGGTCCATGAAGGCATTTTGTTTCATAATTAAAAAAAACAATCCTCCTGAAGTTATGATACAAACTGAAATAGCACCGTTTTAACTGCTGCCTAATTACAAACTATAGTTTTAATTAGTAATACACAATGAGCATAAAGATTCGGGTAACAATTAAAATTTTATCCGCTATCCCATTTAAAGCTAAGTAACGTTTAAAGTAATGAAAAAATTTAATATTCAGAAAATGTAGACATTTTTTGTTCAGAAGTTAATGAGGATTCAGACTTTTGACTCCGCTTTAAGATATTCGAAAGGGCTCTGAGGAGTTTTCAGCTCATGCCGCACACAATGAAAAATTCCGCCGAAACATCATAACGTTTTATATAATAAAGAAAAATGGGTCTTAATAAAAATAAATGTACCTAATAAATTACGGGTCATTTCACAAAGGCATTGCCTTTATTTGGCTAAATTTTGAGGAAAATGTAAAAATATATCGTTAACAGTGGAGATTTGAACGAGGATATATGAAAACCGTTTTAATGGTCATCACTCTTCACCTGACTCTAAACCTGTAAAATTTCCGGTAACAAAGAAGTCTGAACAACTATTCGTCAGCAATTTTACGCTACAATTCTTATAATTTTCAGAGAATATTCGTAATTTGATTGAAATTGCCATAGTTTATGGCAATTTCTTGTTTATAGATATGATTCCGTAATTTTATTCATTGTAAATTTTCATTTTAATGCAAAAGTGAGGAATACTAGTGTGGAATAAAAACGAATAAGTTTCTTTTTGTCTTTACTCTCTGAAACATCGTACCTCCCCTGAGAAGACAAAAGAAAACTACTGTTGTAAACTGAATAAGTAGGTATAAACAAAAGAACAAAGTTTTGCGGGAAACGACAAGTCATTTTTAACAATATTGCTGAATTTTACGTCAGTAGCTAGAGTTCCTACCGTTTAAAAGTTATTGGTGTTTTTCCCTACAACACATCTTTTTAAAATCATTCAATTATGTTAAATTGGGGCGCCACTATTTGAAATATACAGGGTGATTCACAACTTATCCAAAAAAATTTGGGAATAGATGCGGCATGAGAAATGGAGTCAATATTGTAAAAAAAATTTTTGTAAAATCCTTATAGTTTCTGAGAAAAAAAATATTGAAGTTATAGCACATTAAACCACTACAAAGCTGGACAACTGTAGTCTCTAGCGTCATTCGCAATACGCGTGGAGAGCCATGTGACTCCTAATACTGAAATCCGTCGTTGCGGTAGTTTTTACCTGTTATCTGTGGTATTTACATCAGTTTTTTAGTAGTTAGTGTCAAAAATGGCTTGCGTGTATAGCAACTCAGAGTTGATGGATATCGTTTTAATTTATGGTGAAGCAAGACAACATTTGTATTATGGTGAAGTATTTGTGTTATGGTGAAGCAAGACATCATTTGTGTTAGTTCGTAGAAAGTGAGTAAGACGGACCCAAATGTGTTTACACGTGAGTGGATAAAATTTTGAACAATTGCTGTTGCAGCATCGGGTATGTCAAATGATTTTATTATTTAAAAACACAAATTAATTTTATTAATAATTAATAAAGGCAAAAGCATTTGAATTTGCCGATATAAAATAGGTGCGATAAAATTCTATTTACATATTTCTTTCCTTGCGAAAGTTTTTGTCCGTTTTTATCACGCCGCCATACCGGTCGCATTGTGCGAGGTCAGGTTTTACAGTGGACCAGTTTCCAGTGCCGTGCAGAAGTGTATTTTTAAATCAATTTCGAATTGACCTTTTTGATTTTTTCTTTACAAAATTGTATTTGTAAGGGTCCCCTGTACATCCAGAATTTTTTTTGGATAATTTCTGAATCACCCTGTATATTTTGATAGTCTAGTCAAATAGTCAATATACACTGTAAAAAAAATCGGTGTGAATGAAAGCATTAAAGGTTCGGAGTAAATCCATTTAGTGAAATTATTGAGTACATTTTCAATCACTATTGGACATTTTGATCATTTTACTCATTTGATTAATATTTAAACTAAAACTGAGTACTTTCATTCAAATAAGTGTACTCCTTAATTAAATTCTTCACGTAAACTCGTATTTGGTGAATTTGTACCTAAATCAGAGTAAATGTCCTCATTACTGAGTGATCCCACACTTTTTCATATCCAGATGCATTTTCTTTGTATGTTCTCATCGTCCCATTAGGTTATCTCGTGACGTGATGAATGGCAGTATGGCGTATGGTGTGCTTTGGAGTTGGAGAAGTATCGGTTTATCTGGTTATTCCAATGAAAATTGTAGTTAAATGCAGTGATTTAATTACAATAATTAAAGATAATATATTAAATCTCGACTAATATTTGGTAAAATAAACGGATAGTTAAATTGTTATCTATAATTACGTATTTGTAAGGTACAATATAGGTTATGGCAATCTATTCGTCCGAACAGTTCTCCAATTCCTTCAATCGAGACCTAAAATATTGTCTCTAAAACAGATCTGTGCAGAAACCACTGTGGCAGTTTAGTAGTTTATGACTTTAAAACAATGATTATTAAAATTTAAAGAGAATATAAACCAAGTCTGAGTAAAAAATTACTCATTAATAGTTAAATTTAAATCATATTGAAGAAACAGTCAACTTTAAATTGGTTTTATACAGGGTGTTTCAGGATTAACTCGACAAACTTTAAGGATATTCCTCATAAAAAAAATAAGATGAAAATTAAGTATACAGTTTTTTCCAGAGACGCTTCATTTTCGAAATATAGGGCGTTAAAGATTTAAAAAAAAAATCGAATTTTTTAAATATCTTCTAAATGAAGAAGGCTATTTAAGCCAAATTTGGCATGACACATCTTTATATAAGATGCCATTTTTCCATAGAAGTAGAAGCCTCGCAAGCAACCAGTGGCGGAGTTATGGGGACTCAAACTCATTAAATTATAAAAAAAATTAATACGGCCCTATTAAAAATAAAATATTTGTTTGTTATTGACAAAAAGTGTATATTCACTTTTTTCCTAACTCTTGAGGCTGCTTCTGGATTCAATCGATAAATTTTATGAAGACGATCCTCATAAAACCTAAAAAATATAGTACCTATTAAAATTGGTCTTAGTCTCGAGTATGTGTGAGTCAAATAAGCCTTTTTGTCTCCCCTTCCCTTGGGTTTAACCAATAGTATTAATAGTTATTTATGTACCTAGGGAATTATAAGGGCCTTAATTACCGATGGCAAAGTTTGCGTCCCGAGGGCGTCCCGCCCGAGGGACAGCAATTGCCTGAGGTTATTAAGGCTCATTAATTCCCGTGGTACATAGATAATTTTATTTCTGACCGATTTCAATAAAATATTGTTTATTTTTAAAACGGAAAAAATGTACCAATTTATTACCTTCCCAGTATATTTGAATCAGGTACCATTGATTATAAGAGTTTTGTTGTTGCTAGGTTGTTGCTATGTTACGTGTTTATAAACAGAATTGTTACTTGCTTATAAACAGTACTTTGTTATCAAGCTGTGTTTGCGTTAAAAACGTGTTTTCTACCCCAAATATAATGGAGCAGATTTTGAAAAAAGCTGAAAAAGCAAGAGAATCATTAATTCCATCGAAAAGTGAAGCCGTATACCAAAAAGAATACAAGATATATCTGGAGTGGCTGACACGGAATAATGTTATGCCAAAAGATGCCACTGAAACTGTATTACTGGCATATTTTCAAGAATTGGTAAGGAATATTCTATGTTTTTCGGTAGATTTGGTAGTAATTTTGTTTATTCGTTGCAGTCAGAAACGTATAGTCCGAATTCTTTATGGACTAAATGGTCAATGCTAAAATCGAAGGTGAATATACATGAGAAACGAGATATCGCCAAGTTCAATGAACTAGAGGCTTTTTTGAAACGGAAGAGTAAGAGTTATAAGCCGAAAAAGTCTGCTGTTTTATCTCCTAATGATGTTATCAGATTTCTAAAGAACGCTCCTAATGAAATTCATTTATTGCATAAGGTAATTTTTTTCTTATTTTCCTTTTTGTGTGTATTTATTTCCTTTTTTTGTTTTAGGTTGTTTTGATTATGGGTTATTTTGGAGGATGCAGAAGTCAGGAACTTTTGAATATGAAGATATCGGATATAGAGGACCGGGATTCCGTTNGTTTTAGGTTGTTTTGATTATGGGTTATTTTGGAGGATGCAGAAGTCAGGAACTTTTGAATATGAAGATATCGGATATAGAGGACCGGGATTCCGTTATGGTAGTGAACGTACCGGAAAGTAAAACTGGTGTATCGAAGAAATTTACAATTGTGGATGAAAAAGAGTTCTCTGCTTTGCCTTTATTAAGACTTTATATGTCATTGCGTCCTAAAGGTATTGAACGATTTTTTTTGCGCTTCCGACAAAATAAATGTACATCTCAGCTAATTGGAAAAAACATGTTTGGGAAAATTCCCAGCAAAATCGCAATGTATTTAGGATTGCCAAACCCATCTTCCTATACGGGACATTGCCTTCGTCGCACTTCTGCTACTGCTCTAGCTAATGCAGGAGCAACTATGACTAACTTAAAAAGACACGGAGGTTGGAAAAGTTCCACGGTGGCGGAGGGGTATCTGGAGGATAGCATCGAATTGAGAAATAAAACGGCGCGTATGTTGTCTACTTTGCCATTAGAAGAGGCAGGTACCTCGACTGTAGTGAACAGAAGCTCCAGCCATACAAAAGAAGAAATTGTTTCCAGTGGCGGTAGTAATTTTCAGGGAACATTTCAAAATTGTACATTTATTATTTGTAATGACGCAAATAAATAAAATATGGTTCAGTTTTCATTTCATAAATATATACACATATATGTATATTAGCATTTTTCATTTTATTTTTACTTGTGAAAGGTAGAGGGAATTATAGAATCTATAATGACCCAAGGGAGTTATGACTCTCTTTATTGATAGCGTAACTATGACGATATAAGCTTATAATATCCCGGTCAGAAATAAAATTATTTAGGAGATGCTTCGTTTTTGAGGTATAGGGTGTTTTTTTTAGAAAAAAAAAATGATGATGAACACAATAGAAATATTTAAGTACCTAACATCTAATGTGACGATGTCGTAATGCGACAAGTAACAACCCCTGCAATACTCCTAAATTTTTTCAAGCGGTTTGTAGTCACTTCATTTACTTGTGTTGTGTACTTTTAAATAAAATAAGACAATACATGAAAATTTATTTGTAAATTGAACAACCAAAAAATTACCAATTAATATTATACCTAGACAAAGCGAAAAGTGAATCAAAATGAAATGATTTAAAAAATATTTTGTTCAAAATGGGCGCCTCCGGACTGTAGACAAGCACGACATCTTCCAATTATGGAGGTAGTGGCCGATCGACACTGAATTGGAGTTAATTCTCGACACGCTTGGACTATTCGCTGTCTTAGATCTCCTAGGGTACCAACTGGCACCTCGTAGACTTTTTGTTTAAGAGCACCCTAAACGAAATAATCCATCGGTGTCAAGTCCGGTGAACGTGCGGGTCACGCTGCAGGTCCTCCACGACTAATCCATCTCCTGGGATAATTAATGTTTAACGACTCCCTAGGACCTCTACCAAAATGGGCAGGATAACCATCTAGTTGAAACCAACTGTTCATTCGAGTATTAAGCGGAACATCTTCTAACAGATCTTGAAAACCATTTTCAAGGAACTCCGTGAACATGTCAGCATTTAACCGATGCGGAAGGAAGTAGGGACCAACTATAGTGTTGTCCAACACACCCAACTATACGTTACATTAGAATTCATGCTGAAAACTATGTTCCCTTACCGCCCGAGGATTCTCGTAGGACCAAATATGGTTCTTCCTTTAGTTTAAAATTCTTCTTCGAGTAAATGTTACCTCATCTGTTCACATTACTTTTTGCGTAAACTGATCATCATTATCTGCTTGGTTTAACATCCAGTCACAAAACACGTGCCTACATCGTATGTCCTGAGGCAACAAATGTTGCACACGCTGGATATGGTACGCATGGCGTGCATCAGCCCGAAGAGTCCTCCATACGGAACTTGACGAAATACCTAGCTCATAGCTAGATCTTCTGACACTCATGGATGGATTTTCATCGAAATGGTTTAAATAGTATTCGATCTTACTTCGTACTGAAGTGGGGCAAAATGTCCATCAGCATAAGTTGAAATACCGAAAGATCCAGTTTGTCTGAGACGACTGAATGTCGTTGAAAATGTTTCCTTTGCTAGTAGTCTCCGATGAGGAAATTCCATCACAAATACCATATACAAAGACCATATTAGCATATTCATTGTTCCAAAATATGGACGGCATTATTAAACTTATTTTATTTTTAGTTTGAACGCTTTATAATTTATGCAACAATTCGCAAAATAACATTTAAAACGTCAAATTAACATTGCTTGACAGCAGCCTACTCGAAAATTTTTGTTGAGGTTGATTTTAAAGTTTATCGACAGAATACAGAAGCACCCTTCCGAAAAATCAATTTTACCATGCCATAAGAGTTAGGAAAAAAGTGAATGTACACTTTTTGTCAATAAAAAACTGTTCTATCTAAAAACAGCATCATTTTTTATTTTCAAAATGAATATCGTCAGAATGTATAATATTTTTTGAGTCCCCATAACTCCGCCATTGGTTGCTTGCGGGACTTCGAATTTTTTAAAAAATCTTTAACGCCCTATATTTCGAAAATGAAGCGTCTCTGGAAAAAAATTTATACTTGATTTTTTTCTTATTTTTTTTTATGAGAAAGTTTGTCGACTTAATCCTGAAGTACCCTATATACTCAGAATAGACTCAATTGATAGCAGTAACTCGGATTTGAGTAAAACTAACTCATTTCTGATATAATAGTTGCACTCAGTTGTACTCATACTAATAGAGTGTAAATTTCGCTCAATCGGGTGTGGACACAAATTGATATTGAATAGATTATTGAGTAAAATTGAGTGAAATTTGAGTGAAACTTTTTTTACAGTGTAGAAGAAGAGAGCGATATGTGTCTCGAAGTGGCAGTTTTATTCACACTCCCCAACTCTAAGTATTATTTGACATGGTATGATATAATTTGATGAAAACAGCATTTTACCAGGTAGCAGTTTTGCAGAAAAATACTATATTATTTATATTTTGACACCATGTAAGGTATATCTTTTTTACCCTTTATTCTCTTGAATTCGTTATTCTTAACTCAACCCACCTAGTTATCCGATATAGGGACTAAATAAAAAAGTTAAAATTAAAAAAGTTTTGCTTAAAATCAAAATAAAAACAAAGCAATTACGTGGCGAACAGCATCTAAATTTAAATATTTTCAGGAGTGTCTGCTTACTAAAGCGAAAACTAAAATTGCGCCTGCAAAATGTTGCCGTTAATATTTTTAACCAACGAGCCGTTCGAAATGCATTTATGAAGAATAAGCAATTTATTTTCAAGCAGTAAACTAGGTCCCGAAAATGCATAGCTGCACTTTCACATTAGGAACTATAATTACTTTACAAAAAAAAAATCCATTTAATAAATTTTCCTGCATATTCCTCCGTATATGTAATAAATTACTTCTAACGGAATTTTAAAACAAATGAGTATTGAATAACCAGTTAATTAAATTTTATGTAGTGATACATCTATATAAATTATTAATTGTTTAAAACTATACCTATACCTATACCTACTGTAAATTTTAAGTGGGAGGCCCAAAAAATAGGTCCATCCGAAATTACTGTAAAATTTTAATATGTTAACTGACAAAGACGTAAAGCGAATACTACAAAACTCAAAAACTCATTAATAATGGGTTGAAAATCCTTTTGACGTACAACTTTTTGACAACGTCTCGGTGCTTGCTATTGGATTGATTTATTGATTGTTGCCTTCGGAATTTGTTCGTACTGCCCTCAGAGCATTTTTAAATTCGTTTGCCGTATGTGGTTGAACACGTAACTGAAATATTCTTTTGTGGGGTGCATCCCAAAGGTATTCGTTAGGATTTAAAACCAGGAATACATTTGGACATATCATCCTATTGACGTTATTCATTTTTAAAAAAACTCATAAGCTATATTTGCTCTGTGAAATCTGGCGTTATCGTCAGTAAAAATAAAATCAAGATAATAATTTTCTGTTGATAAAATTATTATATCTAAAATGTTTCTAAGTAAATCTAATCCATCAATGTTTCTTCCAAAACTTTGAGATCTGTTGTAAAATTAATCCCGATAAATCTGATTTTTACAAAACAAACACAGGCCGAAAAAGACCTAAAAACGTCGAAA